CAAACCCATAACATGATTGGAAAGATGCCTAGGAGCGTTGCACGTTCTCTTTTTTGTGGCGAAAACATTTCAAAATGCTCACACAAAGAGATTTGCAAACATGAGATAAAACTCAATTTAAAACCACAACTGACCAGACATATGTCCAACGAAAGTAATCCTAGTGAGCAAATCCCGAAAACTGGATTCAGAGACAAACTGGGTTGACGATGAAAATTCTACACCACCACTAGCAAGAAGTTGGGAGAAGTCATTCCTGCAATTGTGATCATAATACACAAAAACTTTCTAGAAAATCTCACACTTACTTGCTTATTGTCACTGAAAGCAACGAATCCGTACATCTCAATGGAACTTTGAAGTCAAGTTTTCCTGGAACTGATCCATCTTCCTCCTGAAAATTTAGATTTTTAAGTCACGAAGAAACACAACTTGTAAATTCAAATATGATTTTTAACAGCATTTGGGCAAGTAAGACGTTGCTGCACTTACTTCAGCAAGATAAGTTATGGTTCCCCTCAACGTTTGAGACACCGTCTTCGAAGAGAGAGCAATGTGCAAGCGTAATTCACCGTGATCACCGGGTGATAAGGCTGTTGGCAACAAGAATCCAGGCTGTAATATGAAGATAATCATCGAACTCTCCTTAAGAACTGCCCATACTCACCTCACTCCTAACCATGCGAGCGTTCAAAGTGTCTACAACATTTGCCTCAATATCTTTCAAGCGTCGCGGGCCAGGGATAAGTAGTCCCAATATGATTACAATTTCTTCGCTACCTGGGTTAGGCGAAGTTGCATAGTCCTAAAAGTGCCACAAGGTACACCTAGAAGTAAATTCTAAAGGTTTTTGGGAACTACTAAAAGTAGAAATCAAAAGCTCTGACTAAAATTAGATGAAAAATGGAAAGTTAATTAGTTTTAATCACTAAATCTTGCGTACCACTATAAGATCCGAATTGGAGCAGAGTTTCGTGCTACTGGGTGCCGCAGAATGACTTGTCTTTGGAGAAATTCCGCGATCAATATTGGGATTAGAAGGGGTACAGACTCCTGATGTTTCCTTAAATGCACCTCACATTTACAAAGAAACTAATTGAATAACTGATTTTCAACTTCTCACATACCTCATACGCTTCCCTTGCAACAGCCAACTTCTTCTTCTTTTTGGTTTTCTTTTCAGGCTGAAAAAAACAAACGTCAAATCAAATCATAGAACACCATTCCTTAACTTACTTTAGAATTTTCGACAGCAGCAGGTACAGGTGCCGGCTCATCCCTAAGCCATGCGTCTATATCCAGGTCTAAATTTTGAGGAGTTGCGGCAAAATCATCCATAGTGTGAGCAGCTGCTGCAACTCTCTTTTTCTTTTTCTTCTTTTGAAGGCCATCGTCCTTCTCTTTCTTCTCCTTTTTCTTCTTCTTGATAGGTTCATTCAGGTCAAGGGGAGTGCGGTTCTGGTATGAGGTTGTCGTGGGTGATCGCGGCACTAGAGGTCCGCGAGGAGAAGATGCACGTTGCCGCGTATAGACGGGAGGCCCTTTTACAACCTCATCAGGTCTTAATGGCTCGTCGAGATTGATGTCGAGAGCTCGGAATTCATCTGAGGCGCATCTCTAAACAGAAACCAAGTTGACCTCTGGAGTTAACATTTTGAACGTGAGAACGGGTTTTTGAAACCATTATACAAACGTTCTTTTAGAACGATCTCTTCCCATTACATGATTTAATTGACAACTCACCGCAGCGTCGTCTTCATCGTCCGTCGACTTCGCACCTTCCGGCATTTCGCCATCGGCACGATTAACCTACAAATAATTCCATTTCACCTGACAGTTAATCCTGTCATGAGAAAATAAAAATGAGTAGCAAAAGCACAATTAAGACAAGAAAAGCATGAGCAAATGACGCAAAGTCATTTAATATGCCTC